TCTTGCTATTGCAAGGCTGGATGGAGTGCAGTGGCTGTTCATAGGCAAGATCACAGCACACTACGGTCTCAAACTGCTGGCCTTAAAGGATCCTCCTGCCTCAGCCTCTCAAGTAGCTGGGACTACAGGTGTATGTCACCACACCTAGCATCATTTAATCTTACTTATTTATTTTGAGGCAGGGTCTTGCTTTGTTGCCCAGGTTGGTGTGCAATGCCACAATCATGGTTCACTGTGGCCTTGATCTCCTGGGCTCAGGTGATCCTCCCACCTCAGTTTCCTGAGTTGATGGGATTATAGCCATGCACCAGCCGTGCCCAGCTAATTTTTGTAATTTTTTTTGTAGACACAGGATCTTGCCACATTGCCCAGGCTGGTCTGGAACTCCTGAGCTCAAGTAAGCCTCCTGCCTCGGCCTCCCAAAGTGCTGGGATTACAGGGGAGAGTCACCTCGCCCAGCACTTAATCTTAATCTTCACAACAAGCCTGTTGCTATCTTCACATTACAGATGAGGCAACCGAGGGACAGATGTTACATACTTGACCAAAGTCACAGACACAGCTAGTAAATGGCAGAGCCAGGGGTTAAATCCAGGCTTTCTGATTCCAGAGTGTGCTCTTGGCTGGGGAACGCATGGCACATGGGATCTGCTCCGTACAACATTCGCTCGTATTTTTCTCATGGGTGGCGCTTCCACACCAGCCCAGATGACCTCAGTGGCACTTCAGTGCCTCCCTCCCACCCTGTCCCAACTAAGTACCTTTTCTGTAGCCAGCACTGGGGAAAGTCCCAGGGAGAGAAATGGGGAATTCCTGGGATCATGGAGAGATACTCCCAAGAGCTAGGAGAGTCTTCCATCTCTGCCTGGCAGGCTTCTGAATAGGGGCGATGCCTCCAGCTTGGTCCAGAGAGAGGAATCTTCCTAAGGTAGAAAGAACTAGAAGTAGGAGAAAAGTACTTTTGGGGGACCCACGATGGGCACCCTCCAGAGGGCTGGAGGGGAAGAGTAGGCACATCCCCCATCCCTTTAGTCTCAAGCCCCTGGGGACCCACCCTGTACCCTGTCATCTCTTTTCAGATGGCCTCCTCAGACAGCCACAGAACGTCTATGGGCAGGACGTGGGCGGAGTGGAATTGGTTAGGGTCAGATGGGGTGAAGGTCTGAGGCCAGGCCCTTAAGTTCCATCAGTGGACATTTGGTTCCACCTAGTGGCCTCTGACGTTCCAACCATCCTCACAGAGACTGGGACAAGAGACACCCTGTCAGGTATTCAGTGTTTATTGAACACCTACTCTTTGTGAGGCAAAATGTAAGGTTCGACAGAGGCGTTATTCATGAGCATAAAGAGGCCGAGCGAGGTGGCTCACGCCTGTAATCCCACTGAAGTGGGAGGATTGCTTGAGCCCAGGAGTTCTAGACCAGCCTAGGCAATAGAGGGAGATCCTATCTCTACAAAAGAAAAAAAAAAAAAAAACAGCTGGGCATGGTGGCATGTGTGGGCCCAGCTATGGAAGGCTGAGGTGGGAGGATCTATTGAGCCCAGGAGGAGCCGAGGCTGCAGTGAACCTAGATCCTGCTGCTGCACTCCAGTCTTGGTGACAGAGCAAGACCCTGTCTCTAAATTAAAAAAAAATAAGAAGCAGAAAAAGAAAAAAGGAAAAAAAAAAAAAAAAAAAAAAAAAAAAGCAGGGTGGAGGGGGATTAAAAAAAAAAGAAAAAAGAAAAAATAAGAAGCAGAAGGTTAGGCAGGGTGGTGTGCACCTGTAGTCCCAGCTTGGAAGGCTAAGGTGGAAGGATTGCTTGATCCCAGAAGTTCAAGGCTGTAGTGAGTATGATCATGTCACTTCGCTCTGGCCTTGGCAATAGAGCGGGACTCTGTCTCTTAACTTTTTTTTTTGGTAAAGAGCAGAGAGGCCGGGCGTGGTGGCTTACGCCTATAATCCAAGCACTACGGAGGCCAAGGCTGGTGGATCACCTGAGGTCGGGAGTTCAAGACCAGCCTGACCAACGTGGTGAAACCCCGTCTTAAAAAAAAAAAAAAGTGTTTAAAAAAAAAAAAAGAGCAGAGAACTAACATGTACTCTGCTCTCTACATACCAGCCCTGGGCTTGGGTCTACACTGTGTTGGCACGTGCCTGTTGAGCACTGAGGATCCCACAGCAGAGACAGGACTGCCGAGTGTCTGGCCTGGTCACTTGGCTTCTCAGGACTTGTTTCCACTCCTGAAAAATAAGAAGATTGGTGTGAATTTTCTCTAGCATCTCTTCCTATGTTACAATTCTGTGAAGTCACACAAAGGAGTGGTTAAGAGTTTCAGCCTTGGGCTGGGTGAAGTGGCTCATGCCTGTAATCCCAGAACTTTGGAAGGTTGAGGCGGATAAATCGCTTGAGCTCAGGAATTTGACAGCAGCCTGGACAACATGGCAAAAACCCTGGCTCACTAAAAATACAAAAATTAGCCAGGTGTGGTGGTGCATGCCTGTGGTCCCAGCTACCTGGGAGGATTGTTTGAGCCTAGGAGGCAGAGGCTGCAGTGAGCCTAGATCGTGCCACTGCACTCTAACCTGGATGATAGAGCCAGATCCCGTCTTAAAAAAAAAAAAAGTTTCAGCTTTGGGGTTGAACAAACCTGCATTTGAATCTCAGCTGTCATTCACTTGGGAAAGTTGCTTTACCTTTTAGAGTCTGGGGTAATAATATAAAGATTAAGTGACAATTATAGCAAGCAATTAGCACAGAGTGTGGCACTTGATGAGTGGTGATGCTGGAGATGATGGATGATTCTAGGTACCCAAATACCCAAAAGCCACACCACAAGGCAGAAGGTGGTAGGTTTCCTCCCTCCCTCCCCTCCCTTCCCTTCCTTCCTTTCTTTTTTTTTTTTTTTTATAAATTTTTTTTTTTTTTTTTTGAGACAGAGTTTCGCTGTTGTTACCCAGGCTGGAGTGCAATGGCACGATCTCAGCTCACCGCAACCTCCGCCTCCTGGGTTCAAGCAATTCTCCTGCCTCAGCCTCCCGAGTAGCTGGGACTACAGGCACATGCCACCATGCCCAGCTAATTTTTGTATTTTTAGTAGAGACAAGGTTTCACCATGCTGACCAGGATAGTCTCGATCTCTTGACCTCGTGATCCACCTGCCTCGGCCTCCCAAAGTGCTGGGATTATAGGCGTGAGCCACCGCGCCCGGCCTTATAAATTCTTTTATAAATGGAGACAAGGTTTCACTATGTTGGTCAGGCTGGTCTCAAACTCCTGACCTCAAGTGATACACCCACCACTGCCTCCCAAAGTGCTGGATTACAGGCGTGAGCCACCATGCCCAGCCCCTTCCTTTTTCTTTCTCCTTTCCATTCTTCCTCTCCTCCCCTTCCCTCCCTTCCCCTTCCTTCCCCTCCCCTCCCCTCCCCTCTCCTCCCTTCCCCTCTCCTCCCTTCCCCTCCCCTCCCCTCTCCTTTCTTGGCGGAGTCTTGCTGTTGCCCAAGTTGCAGTGCAGTGGCGTGATCTCAGGTCACTGCACCTTCCTCCACCGAGGTTCAAGCAATTCTCCTGCCTCAGCCTACTGACTAGCTGGGATTACAGGTATGTGCCATCACGCCCGGCTAATTTTTTTTTTTTTTTTTTTTTTTTGTATTTTTAGTAGAGACAGGGTTTCACCATGTTGGCCAGGTTGGTCTTGAACTCCTGACCTTGTGATCCGCCTAAAGTGCTGGGATTATTGGCATGAGCCACTTCACCCAGGCTTTTTTTTTTTTTTTTGAGACAGAGTCTTGGTCTGCTGCTGAATTTACACATGTATTTCCTTCTCTGTACCAAAAGCTCATTGGTGGCAGAGATCTTCTACATTTTTGTTTTTGTTTTTTTTTTTTTTTTTTTTTTTGGTCAGAATCTTGCTCTATTGCCCAGGCTGGAGTGCAATGGTGTGATCTCAGCTCACTGCAACCTCCGACTCCTGGGTTCAAGTGATACTCCTGCCTCAGCCTCCCGAGGAGCTGGGATTAGAGGCGCCCACCACCACTCCTGGCTAAGTTTTATATTTTTAGTAGAGACATGGTTTCCCCATGTTGGCCAGGCTGGTCTCAAACTCCTGACCTTGTGATCCACCCTCCTCAGCTTCCCAAAGTGCTGGGATTACAAACATGCGCCACCACGCCCGGTTACATTTTTGTATTCTGAATGTCTGGAACACAGCACATAGTGGGTAAAGATGTGTTATTGCAAATGTCCATGGATCTTGTGTCTGGCTCAGAATATGGTGTTTTAGGCCAGGGGCAGTGGTTCATGTTTGTAATCCCAACACTTGGGGAGGTTGAGGCAGGCGAATCACCTAAGGTCAGGAGTTTGAGACTACCCTAGCCAATATGGTAAAACACCATCTCTACTAAAAATACAAAAATTAGCCAGGTATGGTGGCAGGTGCCCGTAATCCCAGCTACTCAGGAGGCTGAAGCAGGAGAATCACTAGAACCCGGTAGGCAGAGGTTGTGGTGAGCTGAGATTGCGCCATTGCACTCCAGCCTGGGCGACAAGAGTGAAACTCCGTCTCAAAAAAAAAGAAAAAAGAAAAAAAATTAGAAGGCTCTGGAGTCGGATCTGGGTTCTGAGCCTTGCTCTGCCTCGTATCAACTGTGTGGCAAGTGACCGGCTTCCACAAACCTCAGATGTGTAATCTGAGATTAGTCGAGGGTTAATCGAGAAACCAGCTGAGTGTGAGGACATAGTAAGTGTTCAGTAAGTGACAGTGGTGGTTATTGCAGAGTTTTGAATGAAGGAGCTGCCTTAGAATCAGGAGAACTGTGCCTCAGTTTTCATTCTGCCCCACCTCCCTGTGTCATCCTAGGCAGGCCACATTTCCTCCTTGGTCTCAGGGGCTTGGAGCAGGTGCCCTCTTAGGCCCCCACAGCCTGATAAGCTATGGGGCCTGAGAACGGGCGTCGTGGAGGATGAGACGTGTGAGGGCAGCAAAGAGTGCTGTGTGTCCAGCAGAGGGCCCTGCCCGGGCCGTGGCCGGAGGCTGGGAGGGAGGGCGGGTGATGCCAGACGCCTGACTGGAGGCGGACCCAGCCGGCCAGCTGCCTCTCTGGAGCCCAGCTCTTGGGCCCCTGCACTCACCTGCTCTTCCCGGGGTGGCTGCCTCCTGCTCGTCCAGCCATGTGGTGGCCGTGGCCCCTGGCTGTCTCTCTTGCTGTGATTTTGGCTGTGGGGCCAAGCAGGGTCTCTGGGGGTACCCCCCTGCACCTGGGGAGGCACAGAGCCGAGACCCAGGAACAGCAGAGCCGATCCAAGAGGGGCACTGAGGATGAGGAGGGCAAGGGCGTGCAGCAGTATGTGCCTCAGGAGTGGGCAGAGTACCCCCGGCCCATTCACCCTGCTGGCCTGCAGCCCACCAAGCCCTTGGTGGCCACCAGCCCTAACCCCGACAAGGATGGGGGCACTCCAGGCAGCGGGCAGGAGCTGAGGGGCAATCTGACGGGGGCACCAGGGCGGAGGCTGCAGATCCAGAACCCCCTATATCCAGTGACCGAGAGCTCCTACAGTGCCTATGCCGTCATGCTCCTGGCACTGGTGGTGTTTGCAGTGGGCATCGTGGGCAATCTGTCGGTCATGTGCATCGTGTGGCACAGCTACTACCTGAAGAGCGCCTGGAACTCCATCCTCGCCAGCCTGGCCCTCTGGGATTTTCTGGTCCTTTTTTTCTGCCTCCCTATTGTCATCTTCAACGAGATCACCAAGCAGAGGCTACTGGGTGATGTTTCCTGTCGGGCCGTGCCCTTCATGGAGGTGAGTGTATGTTCCGCTTGAGCTCAGCTGGGAGGCTGCCATCCAGGGAAGGGGTTCAAAGTCTCCATCAGGCCCTTGAAAGTGGAATTTCTGGGTGTGCAAAACCCCAGAGCTTGGAGCTCTGACTTGCTTTTCCCGTATCTTGGAGAAAGAGACAAATACAGTATTGGTTTCTGGTTGCTCTCGGAACTAAGCGGGCCAGGGTGACTGGAGGGTGTGTGTGGCCCCTGAGTTCCAGCCCCAGCTTGATCTCCTGCTGTGGGAGCAACCTCGAGACAGGTCTCTCCCACTTTCTCCAGACCCAAAGCTGCCCTCCCTTTCCTCAGCCCTCCTCCCCTGCCCCACCCGAGACCGACCGAGATCCTGCTGTGCTTTTTGCAACTCCTCTTCCTCCCTCTGTACCCCCTGCCGCTTCGCTGCTCCTCAGTCTCCTGCCTCCCGAAGGAGTGCTTGAAAGGAGATCCAGATTTCCCACACAGCCCTCTGGATCAAGTCAGCATCCACTCCCCGAGAATACAAGAAGCAGAAGCAAAAGACCCCTCTGTTCTTCCCTCCCTGCTGGGATTCTCATTGTCACCGTTGTCATCTCCACCAGGAACCTCCTAGATCCTCTCTGAAAGGGAATACCTGGTTCTGGGCACTGGAGCTAGTAGGGGGCTCGAATCTCAGCTCTGCCACCGACATACTGGGCATCACTGGGCAGGTTGCATTACCTCTCCAATTTCATTTCCCAACCTGGGGGGTAATCCAGACGGTCCTTCCAGCTGGCCTGTACCGCAGTTCTAAAGTATATCACAATGCCCTCACTTCTGGGAGCTTCCACGATAAGTCCATGTATGTTAAAGGATATGTAGCACATAGAGAGACAACTTAAAACGCTGCAGAAACATACCCATATGTGCATTTAAGCAAGACACAGCAAGGCCACTCTCTAAGACAAAATAAGCAAACAGTCTTTCAAATTTTGTCTGCATGGAGGGTATTGGAGTGACTGTGACCTCCCTGTGAAGCTGGTGTTCCTTTGGGAATGCTGCTGTATAACAAGGGGGACTTGCCTGGCTGGAGAAGGGCTCAGGATCAGGCAGACGGACACAGGTCCTCTTCCAAGGTCTGTCCCCACCTCACCGTGTATCAAAGATGATGTCATAGTTGGACGGACTCTGAGTCTCAGCAGTGGGTATAGTCCTTTCCTGTCCTTGACAACCCAGGGAGACTGACAGTGGTCCAAAGGTACTCCACCCTGAAGGAAGACCCTGCAGCTGGAGACAGCCTTTGTGTCTTAGTTACCGTCTTGTGCTCACGCCCCAGGTGAGCTGTGCGTGCTTAGATGCAGGACCCTGAAATTGAACAGACTAGATTAGAAACTGGGTTTTCTCCATCACTAGCTGCGTGATTTCGTAAATTACTTTAACTGCCTAAATCTCAATTTCCTCTTCTGTAAATTGGGGATAATAACAATAATAATAATAGCTATCTGGATGTCTGGATGAATTCTTTTCTTTTCTTTTTTTTTTTTTTTTTTTCAGGCTGAGTTTTGCTCTTGTTGCCCAGGCTGGGGTGCAATGGCGCAATCTCGGCTCACCGCAACCTCCACCTCCTGGGTTCAGGCAATTCTCCTGCCTCAGCCTCCTGAGTAGCTGGGATTACAGGCACGCGCCACCATGCCCAGCTAATTTTTTGTGTTTTTAGTAGAGACGGGGCTTCACCATGTTGACCAGGATGGTCTCGATCTCTCGACCTCATGATCCACCCACCTCGGCCTCCCAAAGTGTTGGGATTACAGGCGTGAGCCACCGCGCCCAGCCTTCTGGATGAATTCTTAAGGGATTAAATGGGTAATGTCTATAAAGTGCTTAGAATTAAAATCAGTAAAGCCAGGCACGGTGGCTCACGCCTGTAATCCTAGCACTTTGGGAAGCTGAGGTGGGTGGATCACCTGAGGTCAGGAGTTCAAGACCAGCTGGCCATCATGGTGAAACCCCATCTTTAAAAAAAATAAATAGAAGAGCTGGGCGCGGTGGCTCACACCTGTAATTCCAGCACTTTGGGAGGCCGAGGTGGGTGGATCACGAGGTCAAGAGTTCAAGACCGCCGGGCACGGTGGCTCAAGCCTGTAATCCCAGCACTTTGGGAGGCCGAGGCGGGTGGATCACGAGGTCAAGAGATCGAGACCATCCTGGTCAACATGGTGAAACCCCGTCTCTACTACAAAAATACAAAAAATTAGCTGGGCATGGTGGCATGTGCCTGTAATCCCAGCTACTCAGGAGGCTGAGGCAGGAGAATTGCCTGAACCCAGGAGGCGGAGGTTAGGGTGAGCCGAGATCGCGCCATTGCACTCCAGCCTGGGTAACAAGAGTGAAACTCCGTCTCAATAAATAAATAAATAAATAAATAAATAATTAAAATCAGTAGATGATTTTTATTTGGGCATGGTATAGAAGAGAAGCAGAAAAGGACAGACACATACGACCTCTTGCTTGCATGTGGCTGGCAGGTCAATGAACACACCTGGCCCTGCCTGACTGTGGGTCCCAACATATATAATATGTCCTCCTGGGCCAGCCCCTCCATACCTTCCTGAGGACAGAGATGATCCTTAGGCTGCAGAGTGGATCCTTCCAGGCTGGGTGATAGGATGGGAGGAGGGAGACAACACTCTTTCTTTTTTTGAGATGGAGTCTCACTCTGCTACTGAGGCTGGAATGCAGGGGTGTGATCTCAGCTCACTGCAACCCCCACCTCCCAGGTTCAAACAGTCCTCCCACCTCAACCTCCCAAGTAGCTGCGACCACAGCATGCGCTATCATGCCTGGCTAACTTTTATATTTTTGGTAGAGACAGGGCTTCACTATGTTGCCCAGGCTTGTCGCCAACCCCTGGGCTCAAGCAATCAGCCTGTCTTGGCCTCCCAAAGTGCTGGGATTACAGGTGTGAGCCACCACGCCCAGCAACACTCTTTTATAGGGAGGATCTCAGGATGGTGCTGAGGAGGGAGCAGGAGAAGGCAGCTTGGAATAAAACTTGAGATATTTTTGAGATGTAAAAGAGAAGAAGAAGGCTAGGCATAGTGGCTCATGCCTGTAATCCCAGCACTTTGGAGTCCAAGGTGGGAGGATCGTGAGGTCAGGAGATAGAGGCCATCCTGGCCAACATGGTGAAACTCTGTTTCTACTAAAAGTACAAAAATTAGCTGGCATGGTGGTGCACACCTGTGGTCCCAGCTACTCAGGAGAATCTCTTGAACCTGGGAGGCAAGGTTGCAGTGAGCCGAGATCACAGCACTACACTCCAGCCTTGGTGACAGAGCGAGACTCTGTCTCAAAAAAAAAAAAAAAAAAAAAAAAAAAAAGGAGAGAGAATGGTGTTTTTACCCAAGCCTGAAGGCTATGCCTCCGCAGGCCTGGGCTCGTCTGCCAAGAGAGGGGGTTGGGGTTCTCACAAAGGACACTTAGTGGCTCTACTAAAAGCCGGGGATTGTGTTCCCGCAGCCAGAAGAGGGAAGAATTTGGACAGGAGGGGGAGCTGAGCACAATCCCTGAGTGTGGCCGGCAGCGTCGACGGCCCGGAGGGTCTCCTCTTCCTTCCTGCTCTTTGGCACTCTCCTCCCCTGCCGCGCAGGCTGCTTCCTCTTGGCTCAAGGGGTGGTTTTCCTTGTGCTTGATGAATAGTGTTCGAGCATGGTGGGCACAGGCTGCTCGGAGGGGGGCTGCTTCCCCACACAGACAGGCCCTGGGCTTCTCTGGACAGGGCCAGGAGCAGGAGTGTGCGTGTGCGTGTGTGTGTGTGTGTGTGTGTGTGTGTGTGTGTATGTGTGCGCATGCGCGTGCGGACACATGTGCCAGCCATGTTCCCCAAGACCATTCACTCCATCCATGCACATAATGGGGTGCAGGAAGTGAAAGGAGCTGCAAAGATCCAGAACTTCTATGTCTTTGTCTTGGTTATTCCTTGGGGATGATTCCAAAGCCTGTCAGAGAGCATCAGGGTCTGTGGGAGCCAGGCCATTCATCCCCCAGCCAGAGGTGAAGAGCAAGGGGGACAGAGGCAGGCGTGTGCGCGAACCTCAGCTCCGCCATTCATCAGCAGCGTGGTCCTGGGCAAGTCACTGTTCCTGCCTGAGCCTGAGTTTCAACTGTAAGGTGGTTGATTGGGAATGTGATGACATGTAAGGTGCCTGACCCATAGGAAATGCTCATTAAATGGAGCTGTAACTGTTTTCCTTTCTGCCTGCCCTCCTTCCTTCCTTCCTTCCCTCCCTCCCTCCCTCCTTCCTTCCTTCTCTCCCTCCCTCCCTCTTTCCCTCCCTCCTTCCTTCCTTTCTTCTCTCCCTCCCTCCCTCCCTCTTTCCCTCCCTCCCTCCTTCCTTCCTTCTCTCCCTCCCTCCCTCTTTCCCTCCCTCCTTCCTTCCTTCCTTCTCTCCCTCCCTCCCTCTTTCCCTCCCTTCCTCCTTCATTCCTTCCTTTCCTCCCTCCCCCCCTCCTTCCTTCCTTTCCTCCCTCCCGCCCTCCTTCCCTCCCTCCTTCCTTCTTTCCTTCCTTCGTTCCTTTTTCCTTCCACAGGGTCTCGTTCTGTCACCCAGGCTGGAGTGCAGTGTCGTGATCTCTGCTCACTGCAGCCTCGACCCCCTGGGCTCAAGCCATCCTCCTACCTCAGCCTCCTGAGTAGTTGGGACCACAGCCATACATCAGCATGACAGGCTATTTTTTTGTATTTTTAATAGAGGCTGGGTTCCATCGTGTTGCCCAGGCTGGCCTCAAACTCCTGGGCTCAAATGATCTGCCAGCCTTGGCCTCTCAAAGTGCTGGGATTACAGACGTGAGCCACCTTGCATGGCCCATTATCATAATTTCTGTGCTTATCGCTCAGTTCATGGTCTCACTGAGCCAGAAGCCAGGTGTCCTTCCTTGTCCCCATAGGTTTTGACCAAGTGCTTCTCTCTTCCTCCGCATCCTTGCCCACAGGTCTCCTCTCTGGGAGTCACGACCTTCAGTCTCTGTGCCCTGGGCATTGACCGCTTCCACGTGGCCACCAGCACCCTGCCCAAAGTGAGGCCCATCGAGCGGTGCCAATCCATCCTGGCCAAGCTGGCCGTCATCTGGGTGGGCTCCATGACGCTGGCCGTGCCCGAGCTCCTGCTGTGGCAGCTGGCACAGGAGCCTGCCCCCACCATAGGCACCCTGGACTCGTGCATCATGAAACCCTCAGCCAGCCTGCCCGAGTCCCTGTACTCACTGGTGATGACCTACCAGAACGCCCGCATGTGGTGGTATTTTGGCTGCTACTTCTGCCTGCCCATCCTCTTCACGGTCACCTGTCAGCTGGTGACGTGGCGGGTGCGAAGCCCTCCAGGGAGGAAGCCAGAGTGCAGGGCCAGCAAGCACGAGCAGTGTGAGAGCCAGCTCAACAGCACCGTGGTGGGCCTGACCGTGGTCTACGCCTTCTGCACCCTCCCGGAGAACGTCTGCAACATCGTGGTGGCCTACCTCTCCCCCGAGCTGACCCGCCAGACCCTGGACCTCCTGGGCCTCATCAACCAGTTCTCCGCCTTCTTCAAGGGCGCCATCACCCCGGTGCTGCTCCTCTGCGTCTGCAGGCCGCTGGGCCAGGCCTTCCTGGACTGCTGCTGCTGCTGCTGCTGCGAGGAGTGTGCTGCGGCTCCGGAGGCCTCGGACGGCAAGCTCAAGACCGAGGTGTCCGCCTCCATCTACTTCCACAAGCCCAGGGAGTCACCGCCGCTCCTGCCCCTGGGCACGCCTTGCTGAGGCCTCAGCAGGGCTGGGGCGGGAGGGAGGGGGCCGCCCCGCCCGCGTCTGCTGTTCTTTCCCCATAGATCTTACCTTGCTGCCTGCCTTGCTGTCTAGAGATGGACTTGGTTCTTCTTGTCGAGGTTTGGGGGTGTCAAAGCCCCTCCCCACACGGGGCCTTGGCTGTCCCTTGCGGGGCCTTCCAACCCCGTCCTTTCCACTGGTGGGCGGTGATGCTTCTAGGTCCTTAGAACTGCCCAGAAACTCTGAGTCCCAGCAGCTGGGAGCCAGAAACGTTGCCTGCCCTCCCTTGGGTCCAGCCTCTCCTCCCTCTGTCCGCGTTGGAGCCTGACCATATTTTAGATGTGCCCTCCTCACGCATCATCTTCCTACCCCCAACCTGGGGCCCGTTCTTGAAATGGGGGCTCCTTGGGGGCCAGCCCAATGTGGCTCAGCACACTCTTCTTTTTTTTTTTTTGGAGACGGAGTCTTGATCTGTCGCCCAGGCTGGAGTGCAGTGGCCGGATCTCAGCTCGCTACAACATCCACCACCTCCTGGGTTCAAGCAATTCTCTCGCCTCAGCCTCTCAAATAGCTGAGATTACGGGTGTGCATTACCATGCCCAGCTAATTTTTGGATTTGTAGAAGAGACAAGGTTTCACCGTGTTGGCCAGACAGGTGTTGAACTCCTGACCTTGAGTGATCCTCCTGCCTTGGCCTCCCAAAGTGCTGGGATTGGAAGTGTGAGCCACCGCTCCTGGCCTCAGCACACTCTTCTCTGGACCGGATCTGTTCCAGCCCTGGACACCTCCTCCTACTGGCGCCTTCTTTTCTTCCGGAGGGTTTTTCTCTCCTTCCTCGTTTCTTTCTTTTTTTTTTTTTTTTGAGACAGAGTCTTACTCTGTCACCAGGCACTAGACTGGAGTGCAGTGGCACAATCTTGTCTCACCGCAACCTCCACCTCCTGGGTTCAAGCAATTCTCTTGCCTCAGCCTCCCAAGTAGCTGGGATTACAGGCGCGCGCCGCCACGCCCAGCTAATTTTTTGTATTTTTAGTAGAGATGGGGTTTCACCATGTTGGCCAGGATGGTCTCGATCTCTTGACCTTGTGATCCGCCGGCCTCGGCCTCCCAAAGTGCTGGGATTACAGGCTTGAGCCACCGCGCCCGGCCCCCTCCTCATTTCTTTGGGATCCCCTGGTTGCCCTGTCCCAACCCCCTGGTTAGGTGCTTTCCCATAGGAGGCCCTTCTTGAGAAACAATAAACTAGGTCGAGCTACCCCTCTGCCCATCCACTTTCTTGTGCCACATCCTGGTAGGGCCCACATGCACTGGGCCTTCCTGGCCTGGCAGTGCCTTGGGGAATTTCTCCTGACCTGGCCTGTCTGTGACTGATGTTCAGCACAGCCTTGTGGCCCTGGGGACTCCAAGGGTTTTATGGCTTTTGAGGGACAGAGAGGATGGAGGGCTTGGGGAGCCGGGAGGCCTAAGTTCTCACCCTGGCCTAAACCGCATGGTCCCTGGGAAGTCAAAAGCCTGCAAAGTATCTCCTCTGGAGCCCTCATCTCTGCTGTGCCCTCTCTCCACAAAGCCCCCCTTGGAGGGAGTCCAGTGGTCTTCCCTCTGTGAGCTCCAGGGCTTCCCAGCCTTTGTCACTCTGAGAACTGCTCTTGTTCAGTTTCTTAGAACGGACTGTTTTGCCTGTAGACCGCCCAGCTGCCTGCCCTGGCCTGCCCCCGCCCAGCCCCCACCGGGCCCCCACCGGGCCCCCACCGGGCCCCCACTGCACCACCCTTCCCTGCAGAGCTCCCGCCATCCCCAGCAGACCCTTGATGCAGCTCCGCCTGCTGGGTCTGGCCCTTGAAGTCCCACTTACTTCCCCCAGCCTCACCTCTGGGCCCTTCCAGAGGGCACCCTTAGCTTTGTGGGTCCCTGAGAAGCTGTCACAGCATCAACCAGAAGTGATGCCTCAGCCAGGCCACCGATCGTGCCCTACCTGGGAGCTCAGCTTTCCTCAGAACCACCGCCCCTGTCTGAAGCTCACTCCTGGGTCCCACCAGACTTCTGCCCACCAGGCCCACCTCCAGCATCTACACGGGGCCTCAGGAAGGGTCCCTGGAGCCCAGGGACAGGGAGGGGTGGGGGTTCCGAGCACCTGGGGCTCCATTCTCCTCTGTCCACCCACCCACACCCCTTGGCCTCAGCCTGCCCTGTACCCAAGCTTCCCTCCCCCTCTCCTGGGGATCTTAACAGCCTTGTTCTCTCTCCCTGGCACCCACCCCCAGGGCGGGTGACGCTGCCAAGAGAGAGGGAGGCCGTTGCTAGGTGATGGCGCTGCCATGCGCACAGCCTTTGTGCTGGGGAGTGACACCCACCCATTTCTCAGCAGACCTGTTGCCACGGTGACTGAAGCCCCCAGCTCTGTCGGTAGAGACTTCAGATGGGTGGGGGAGCAGGTTGGAGAGGGGACCAAAGGCGGGCCTGCTGCGCTGAAGCTCCTGGGGACAGTTTCCTCCAGGTTTCCCCAACACCGTCTCCACCCACCCACCCCCTGGCCCGGAGGCACCACCAGCTTCATAAGGGATGCAGGAAGGGGCTGGGTGAACTGAGGTGAAGTCCAGGACAGGGGGAGAGAAGGCAGGGGAGGCAGACCCCTCAGCATCCTGTTTAGGGGGCCTCGTCCACAAAGGATGTCCTCCGCCTCTCCCTCCTGGAGCTGGTTGGCCGGCTCAGAGAGGAAGGGGCAGAGATGGTGGCTCCAAGGCTCTGCCTCCGCCGCCTCCCAGGCCTGCCAACGTGGATGGCTTGCAGAATCACTCAGCAGGCCAGCGGCCTTGGGAAAGAAGCCACTGTCCCGGCAGCCTGGGCCAGCTGGGGGAACAATGTGGGGTTTGTTGCTTAGGGGTCTCAGGCTTGGGGGGCAGGGTTGGCACATGGTGGGCAATGGACTTGAGCTGGGATGCTCTGACGTGCCGCTGACATGCTCACCCAAGGCAGACTTCAGACCAGCCCTCAGTCCCTGATGCCAGGTTACAGGGGCGAGGGGAGCCCGAATCTACTGGGTCCCTCTCCCTGCTCCACTTGCGAGTCACCTTTTCAGCGCCTGTCCTGTAAGCGGCGTGCAATTTACTTAAACGCAGTCTTAGCTTCCTCATCTGTAAAATGGGAATAATCTGTCCTTCACAGAGGATTATGGTCATTTAATGAGACAAGATACATCAAGCACCTGAACCTTTTTTCTTCCTCTCCTTTGGGAATTCAATTACTTTTTTTTTTTGAAATGGAGTTTCACTCTGTTGTCCAGGCTGGAGTGCAGTGGTGCGATCTCAGCTCACTGCAACCTCTGCCTCCCAGGTTCAAGAGATTCTTCTGCCTCAGCCTCCTGAGTAGCTGGGATTATAGGCATGTGCCACATGTCTGACTAATTTTTGTATTTTTAGTAGAGACAGGGTTTCACCAAGTTGGTCAGGCTGGTGACCATGTTGGTCAGGCTGGTCTCGAACTCCTGACCTCATTATGCGCCTGCCTTGGCCTCCCAAAGTGCTGGGATTACAGGCATGAGCTACTATGCCCAGCAAGGAATTTGATTCTCTAGTGTTATGGAGCAGGCTTGGCCAGACGATTTTTTTTTTTTTTTTTAAGACAGTCTCACTCTATCACCAAGCTGGAGTGCAGTGGCGTGATCTTGGCTCACTGCAACCTCTGCCTCCTGGGTTCAAGCGATTCTCCTGCCTCAGCCTCCTGAGTAGCTGGAAGTACAGTAGCTGGATAATGGTACGCACCACCATCCCCAGCTAATTTTTTTGTATGTTTAGTAGAGACAAGGTTTTACCATGTTGGCTAGGATGGTCTCAATCAAAGTGCTGGGATTACAGCATGAGCCACCACGCCCAGCCGGCCAGGGGATTCTTAAACGCAGCCAGGTTTCAGCATCAAAGGGCCCCAAACATGACAATTTGCTTATACTCATGATCTGTTCCCCGTTCAACTTTAATAGTTTTTTTTTTTTTTTTTTTTTTTTTTTGAGACGGAGTTTCGCTCTTGTTACCCAGGCTGGAGTGCAATGGCGCGTTCTCGGCTCACCGCAACCTCCGCCTCCTGGGCTCAGGCAATTCTCCTGCCTCAGCCTCCTAAGTAGCTGGGATTACAGGCATGCACCACCACGCCCAGCTAGTTTTTTTTTGTATTTTTAGTAGAGACGGGGTTTCACCATGTTGACCAGGATGATCTCGATCTTTCGACCTCGTGATCCACCCGCCTCGGCCTCCCAAAGTGCTGGGATTACAGGCTTGAGCCACCGCGCCCGGCCAATAGTTTTTTTTTTAAAGAGTTGAGAGGTCTCACTATGTTGCCCAGGCTAGCTTTGAACTCCTGGGCTCAAACAGTCCTGCCTCAGCCTCCTGTGTAGCTGGGATTACAGGTTTTTGTACCACCATGCCTGGTTGAACACATTTTTTAATTTTTATTTTTGAGACAGGGTCTCACTCTGTCACTCAAGCTGAGTGCTGTGGTGCGATCACAGCACATTGCAGCCTCTACTTCTTGGGTTCAAACGATTCTCCTGCCTCAGCTTCCTGAGTAGCTGGGACTACAAGGCATGCATTGCCACACCTGGATAATTTTTGATTATTTGTAGAGATAGGGCCTCACTATGTTGTCCAGGCTGGTCTTGAACTCTGGGATTCAAGTGATTCACCTACCTCGGCCTCCCAAAATGGTGGGATTACATGCATGAGCCACTGCACCCAGCCCCTGGACAAATTTTTTTTTTTTTTTTTTAATTAAAAAAAATTCCTGGCCGGGCAGTGGTGGCTCAAGCCTGTAATCCCAGCACTTTGGGAGGCCGAGGTGGGTGGATCACGAGGTCGAGAGATCGAGACCATCCTGGTCAACATGGTGAAACCCCGTCTCTACTAAAAATACTAAAAATTAGCTGGGCATGGTGGCGCGTGCCTATAATCCCAGCTACTCAGGAGGCTGAGGCAGGAGAATTGCCTGAACCCAGGAGGCGGAGGTTGCGGTGAGCCGAGATCGCACCATTGCACTCCAGCCTAGGTAACGAGGGAAATTCCGTCTCAAAAAAAAAAAAAAAAAAAAAAAATTCC